GTATAAATCACAGCAAATGACCTCAAGTGATTCCTACATTAAAATGTTTTCAAGGATTCTGGGAATATGGCAGTGATGGCAGTCACAGCATAGTTCCTTTTATCTCTCTTAATCCCTACATAAAAGCAGAGCCAACTTATATCAAAACTGAAAACCCATGGATATATGCAACAAAATTTGTTGATAAGGTGTTTGCCAACAGCCCCAAAATACAAGAGGGAGAGAACAAAGCACCAACAACCACAATACCTGCATAGTATCAGCGCCTGGACAAAAGAAAGATTAGGAAAGCAACAGGCTGTCTTACAAATCTGAGAACACAAGAACCCCGAAATAGCTAACAAGTATTTGTTAGAAATGACAGAAAGCCAATCTGAGAAGAGCTGCTGTAACTGGGAGAGGCTTTGCCCCGTCCAGTGGTATGTGGGTGCAAGGGGCCCATGGTAAGATCTGAAGGAGTTAGAGTAGTCTAGCACCATTCTTCCTTTCCAGGAAAGGACCCACATTGAGAAGAAATTTCTGGGAGTGAAATCAATATTGAGTAGGATAGGGATAATAGAGACAAAAAATTAAGATGTCCAGATAAAAGTGGGGGGAAGAAACAGAGCCAGAAACAACAGAAAGAAAACTGCCATATTTTTAAACATTATATATTTTTTTAAAAAATAGAATAGAGGGAGCTTTGTGAAGTTAGAAAATCTCCTGACCTCTAAAAGTTCTAGAAAACAAATGTCACATAAAAGTGCATAGCAGAGAAGTATTAAGGTCACATACAAAATTACAATAAGAATTTTAAAAGAGAATAGAGGACAGAAGATCACCTGTACAGAAAAAAATGAAAGCATATCAGCAAGACATGCCCACAGGAGAGATCAAAATTATATCCTTCTATTTCAAAATGAGCTAAATAACCATAAAACAATAATACAAGACATGAAAAATAACATAATCAGTATTACAAAAGATGAGAAATTAGGTGGTAGAACTCAGAAAATAATGTAAGATGAAAGAAAAAAATAATTCGGAGATGAAGACTAAATTAGAAGGAAAGCAAGATCAAATAAACACAATAGTTAATGCCTTACAAGAAAGAGAAGGTGAAAAGATAAAAATTTTTTAATCAAAAAAGATGACATACATGAAAGCTAAGCAAAGAAGATCCAACATACAGATAACAGGGGCACCTTAAGATGAAAGGCAAAGTGGAGCGAAGCAAATACAGCTGTAATTCAAGAAAAATTTTCTTATTGAAACTACTTACTAAAGAGCACTCTGTGTATTTGAGAATATTGATCCAGAATGAGCAATACCAAAGAATACTCTAGTAAAGTTGTCAAACTATCAAAGAAAAAGAAAAAAAACTTTGGGCACCTAAGCAAAAACAAGTGACTTCGTAAAGAATAAAGTTTAGAGTATCATCAGAGTTTTTTGCAGTACTATTTTATACCAGAAGAAAATGGAGTAGCATATATAATATACTTA